TCCTCTCTTTCTTCCTTCCCCCACCCTAAAAATAAGTAAATAAAATCTTTAAAAATAATAAAAAGAAAATTGACAAACCTTTAACCAGACTCAGCGAAAAAAAAGAAAGAGAACCTAAATAAATAAAATCAGAAATGAAAGAGGAGAGATTACAGCTGATACCACAGAAATACAAAGGATTGTGAGAAATTACTACAAAGAACTATATGCCAAGAAATTGAAAACCTAAGTGAAGTGGACAAATTTCTAGAAAAATATGGTCTTCTAAAACTGAATAAAGAAGCAGAAGAAAGCCTCAACAGACTGATAACAGCCTGAAATTAAAGCAGTAATCAAAAAATTCTGGCACACAAAAGAGCTGGACCGGATGGTTTCACAGGATTGTACAAAGCATTTAAGGAAGAGGTAACCCTATCCTTCACAGACTATTCCAAAAAAATCCAAAATGATGGAAGACTCCCAAACTCTTTTCATGAGGCCAGTATCATCCTAATCCCAAAACCAGATAAAGACACAACAAAGAAAGAAAACTACAAGCCAATATTGGTGATGATCATAGATGATAAAATCCTCAACAAAATTTTGCCAAACCACATCCAGCAATATATTGAAAAGATCATACACCATGATCAAGTGAGATTCACTCCAGGATGCAAGGATAGTACAGTATTCACAAATCAATAAATGTAATACATCACATAAACAAAAGGAGAGACAAAAATCACGTGATCATATCAATAGATGTAAAAAAGCATATGATAAGGTACAACACACATTTATGACAAAAGTATTCAGCAAAGTGGGAGTAGAGGGAGCATAATTCGACCTAACAAAGGCCATGTGTGAGAGACCTGCAGCCAACATCATACTCAATAGGCAGAAACCAAGTTTTCCCAATAAGATCAGAGAGAAGACAAGGGTGTCTGCATTCACCACTTCTATTCAACATAGTATTGGATAGTCTAGCCACAGTGATCAGACCAGAAAAAGGAAAAAAAGGCATCATAATTCAAAAGGAGGAAATAAAAATTATCATTTGTTTGCAGATGACATGATAGTGTGCATAGAAAATCTTTAGACTCCACCAAAAAAATTACTTGACCTAATAGGTGAATTTGCCAAAACAGCAGGATATAAAGCCAATATTCAGAAATTGAAGGCAATTTGATACAACAAAAACAAAATATCAAAAACATAAATTAGGAAAAATTTAGGAACAAGAATAATGTACTTAGGAATAAATTTAACCAAGAAGGTAAAAGACCTGTACTCAGAAAACTACATGACACTGAAGAAAGAAATTAAGGAAGACACAAATAAATGGAAACATATACTGTGTTCATGGATAGGAAGAATTAACATCATCAAAATGTCCATACTACCCAAAGAAATTTATAGATTCAATGTAATCCATATTAAAATACCAATGACACATTTCACAGATATAGAACAAACATTTCAAAAATTTATGTGGAACCATAAATGACCTTGAATAGACTCAGCAATTTTGAGAAAAAGGAATAAAGTGGGAGGGATCACATATCTCATATCAAACTGTATTACATGCCACTGTAGTCAAAACAGTCTGGTATTGACATAAGAACAGACACATATACCAATGGAACAGAATAGAGAGCCCAGGTATAAACCCAAGTCTCTGTGGTCAATTAATATTTGACAAAGGTGGGCAGGAGCCATAAAATGGAATCAAAATAGCCTCTTCAACAAATGGTGTTGGGAAGTCTGGACAACTACATGCAAAAAAATGAAACTTGACTACCAACATACACCCTATACAAAAATAAACTCAAAATGGATAAAAGACTTAAATATGATTTTTGTGACACCATAAAAGTTCTAGGGAAAAACACAGGCAGGAAAATTTCAGATATTCTGCTCAGCAATATTTTCACCAATATGTTTCCTAGAGCAAGGGACATAAAGGAAAGAATAAACAAATTGATCTATATCAAATTTAAAAGCTTCAACATGGCTGTAGAAAACATCAGCAAAATGAAAAGAGAACCAATTGCATGGGAAAATATATTTGCCAAATATACCTTGGACCAGGGTTTGATCTCCAAACTATATAAAGAGCTCACATGACTCCACACCAGGAAGACCAACAATCCAAGTAAAAAATGAGCAAGGGACCTGAACGGACACCTCTCCAAAGAGGGTCCACTCATACAGAGGCCCAGAGACATAAGGTGCTCAGCACTGGAAAGAATGCTCGGCATTGCTAGTCATCAGAGAGATGCAAATTAAAACCACAATGATATACCACCTCACACTGGTCACAATGGCCATCATTAACAAATCAACAAACAAATGGTAGTGAGGTTGTGAAGAAAAGGGAACCCTAGTGCAGCCACTGTGGAAAACAGTATGAAATTGCCTTAGAAAACTGAAAATGGAACTGCCTTTTGACCCAGCAATTCCACTGCTGGGATTATACTGTAAGAATCCTGAAACAGAAATTCAGAAGACCTATGCACCCCAATGTCCATAGCAATGTTATTTACAATAACACTGCCAAGTGCTGGAACCAACCTAAGTACCCACCAGCAAATGAGTGGATCACAAAACTGTGGTACATTTACACAATGGAATACTACACAGCAGAAAGAAAGAAGGAGCTCCTACCCTTTGTGACAGCATGGAACAGGATGGAACTGGAGAGCATTATGCTAAGTGAAATAAGCCGGGCAGTGAAAGACAAATACCATATGATATCACCTATAAGTGGAACCTAGTCAACAAAACAAACAAAATAGAACCAGAGATATGGATATAAAGAATAAACTGACAGTGATAGTGGGGAAGTGGATAATGGGGGGAAGAAGGGGAAGGGTCAAGTCAAGGAACATGTATAAAGGACCCGTGGACAGAATCAATGGGGTCGGGGGCAAAGGGACGATTGAATGTGGAAGGTGGGGGTTGGTAGGTCAAGGGAGATTAATGGGGGAATATTGGAAACAACTGTAATTGAACAACAATAAAAATAATTTTAAAAAGTAAACACTTCAGAAAAGAGAAGCTCGGTATTGAAATGATAATTTGTAAATGGTATCCTACCTGCTACCACCTTTTGTGTGTGTTTATATATATACATGTATATATATAAAAGTTTTGGGAAATACATTTCTAGGACACGTTAACAGAGAGGAAGTAAGTTAAACGTCTGTGCATTTTAAGATGTTGGAATAGAGGAACTAAATCACATTCCTGCCTGGAAACTGTTCAACAAAAATGGAAATACGTGTGATGATCTGTTTCTAAAGACAAGATTTTAAATTACTCATTAGTAGGAATAAGTGTTCATCAGGAAACAAAAAAAGAACAGAGGATAAATCCTCAAAAGGAAATCAAAGAAGCTAAAAGTGCTTTGGAAAAGGGAGAATAATATATAGTGATGGGGAATTTACCTTTCAAAACAATAAATCTTGATTTATTTAAAAATAAATACTATTTTCTAGATTAATATGGATTGCCTATTCACCAGGTGATATGTGTTGTTTGTACTATGTTGTATATATGTGTGTTCTATACCTAGTCTGATAGTTCTGTTGAAAAAATAGCAAAATAAACTATGTTCCAAGATTAATAAAATACTAGAAAACCAGACTTACTCTATGTTCCAATGAGAGATATACCACATAAATATTTTTCCATACAGGCTGTAACTACATTCAGAATGACAAGGTACTTTAATAACAAGCTTTAAAGATAGTTTGAAACAATTTTATTTCTATATGCATATTCCATACATACTATGGAATATAGTATATTCCATACATACTATGGAATATGCATATTCCATATATGCTTTAACAGAGAAGATATTGGTTTTTGGATATGTTATAGACATTGCCATATATATATTGCCATATATACATATATATATGAGGGAAAATATTGGATGGTATTATGATTTTTTCTTAATAATTCCTCAAAAAGTGAAAACTACTTAAAACCTAAAAATATTCCTCATAATTGATTGCTTTTCTCAGATATTTTAAATAATTTTGTTTTATTTTAATTACTTCATATGTTTCTGTACTACTTACAAAGTTTACAGCAATTATTTAATTCATGTTTTAGAGATGTATAAATCTTAAACTTGTACTTACCCAATTTTTTGTGAAATAGTTGCATATATACTATGAGTAGAAGATTGCTATCTATATTTTTTATTTTTATATCCTACTGACACATTAGTACAGAATATTTAGCTAAAAGAACATTTTGAGTTATTTAGGTATGCAGTCTATTTGGAAATATGACAAGGTTTTTTTTTTAATTTACTTATACAAAAAGGTAAAATTCTTTACTGTCTCATATATAAAATAAAGTTGGAAACAAAAAAAATAAGAAACAGAATTTTGATTACTTTTTACATTTTCTACTAAATTCATTATTGATATCATTCAAAATTTATCTTTCCCCACATATACCATTGGAACATTAGTTTAATAATATTTGAGTGTGGAATAGAAGCAAAGTAAACTAAAGTAACAATAAAAAATATATCTTGTATATATTTTGAACACCACTTTGAATTAGAACACCATCTTTTTCACTTGGACAAAAAACATGGTCTTGCTAAGTCTTGTAGGATGTTTCACTGCTGCCTCACTTTCCTTATATGGTTCTCCTTCTTTGTTGTTTAATTGCATTCAGCTTTATATTTTATCAAGGAGAACCATACTTTAAATCAATATTAAAATTATGTGTCTACCGTGACTCATAAAAAGCTTAAGAATTTGAGCTTTTTAATTGTATTTTAACCTGGAGACAGATCATATACCCTTTCTGAATACATTTTTGTATGTTTCATGAGAGTTCTAGAACTTTTCCAAACTTTTCTATTTCTATCATAGAACTAGTGTGTGACTTTGAGTTGGAAAAATGCTAGTCTAAATATGCTTTTAAAATAATGTATTCTCTCCTTTTTTCTTTCATTTTTTCCTCTGTTTCTTCCACTGTCTCTTTTACAGATTATTAGTTTATTAAATGTCTTCACACCCCAGAAAACACTGGAGGAGTTCCAAGATGTGTAAGTAGCAAAACTCATGAAGGGAGAATATAGCACTCTAATAACTCGAGGGAAATTGACAAGAATCAAATAGATGAAATCCACTGTAGAGATCAAAGGGACATAAAAGCCGGCAGTAAATGAAAAGGATCTAGTGATAGGACAGGGGTTTTGTTTCTCGTGTTATTTTCCAGAAAGATGCCTCTGCTTCTTTCTGGTTTTCTGGTTCTTTGTGCTTTTTTATTCCACATTCTTGGTTCAGCTGAAGATTTATTATTTTTATGTGTTTTTTATTATTGTTGATTCTGTGAGATTTTTAGAATGAGTCAATACACTTTGAGAAATATTAATAAAGAGGGACCTGATAATCATTATCTTTAATATTTATTTTTATTTTTGTGGTACCTTTGACTTTGTGTAAAAAGAATAATCTACTTATAAGTATAGTGATGGTAAGCAGAGGAGAAGAAGTAAACACCTTGGCCTATTTAATACAGACTTGTTGTATTTAATGGAAGATGCTACTTTGAATTTTTTTTTATTTGTAGAGTCATAGTACTTGGGAAACAGTTGCAGGAAATTCAGGGAAAAGTGAGAACAAGATGAAGGTAGGAAATATATGATCAGGAGCCACACACTAATAAAAGCTCCTTCTATTGGCAACCTGTGGTGGAGTTACCATGTGAAGCATGTGCACAAAACTTGGAAGTTTTTTAAATATTTTTCATTCAATCCGATGTGGAGCTGGGAAGTAAGGAAGAATTCCAGATTTAGGAGAGGATTCTGTCTTATTTGAAACAATTCACAGGTGATCTGGAACTAAACTGTGGATTTACCTTGCAGTTACTTAGTAATGGAACTGATGGATGCCAACTTGTGTCAGGTGATTCAGATGGAATTAGACCATGAACGGATGTCTTACCTTCTATACCAAATGTTGTGTGGCATCAAGCACCTTCATTCTGCTGGAATTATTCACAGGGTAAGAATACCTACTACAGATTTACAATTCAGATGTTTTAGAGAAGAGAAACCAATTGTAGATGATTTTCTTTATGTAGGGGGCTTGGTTAAATGTACTATCCTCCCTCATTTCTTTAATGATAGAATTAGCACATAGTTCACTGAAGTGTAGAAGGATACCTTACCTACACTGTAGTTGATTTTATTTAATATTTTGTTTTAGCTCATTGAGATTCAGCTTCTGAGAAACCTCTTGTTTTCTAGCCCCCTGATTGGCAGAGGGCATATACGCAGTTGAAAGAAGACAGTACATTTACACAGTTTGTTTCTGACACTGTAAAGGCAGCTGCCCTGCTCTGCTCTCCTGTCAGGTCTAGAAATGAAATATAGCTGAAAGGTTTATGTTGTCATAAGGAGGAAGCTAACTGATGACAATACATTTTTTTTTCTGAAAACTCTTTCCAAAATGAGCCTAAATAGTAACAATGATAGTACAATTCTGGGTTTAAAAAAGTTTAGGAGGTTATAAAAAAACCCTGAAAACTTATTGTAAACTCCTTTGGGCAGTAACCATTTGCTCTATGTAGGACTGGCAGTGGGGAAGGGGCAGTCAGTGCTATTGCAAGACTACCATGTTGGTCAAGTAGATGGAAATCACACATTCTGTTTGACGCTGGCTTTGAACTCCTTCTCTTGTTCCTATTGTCAGGATCTAAAACCAAGTAACATTGTAGTCAAGTCTGATTGTACCTTGAAAATTCTCGACTTTGGACTGGCCAGGACCGCAGGCACAAGCTTCATGATGACTCCTTATGTGGTGACACGTTATTACAGAGCCCCTGAGGTCATCCTGGGAATGGGCTACAAGGAGAACGGTAGGGATGCTTCTGAGTAGTAGCTACGGGGACTGCAAAGGAAATGAGTACATGTTCAGATAGGCAGAGTAACATTCTCTTTCATGGATATGAATATTTTAATAGGACTGCCAGCTTTCATGTTCAGAGTTTTGTGTGTGTGTTTTTTTTAAATACTATTAAGGGAGAATCACTCATTAAAAATGTGAAGAGTGTTTCTGAGAAGTGAGCTTTGCTAGAAGAGCACTGGCATGTTATAGCTAAAAAGAATTGTCAGTGGAGTCTGGCTAAATTATCAATGGATACTAATGAGCACACATGCTGTAGATACCAAGAAAAATTGCTGTTTAGGTTGCAGCTCAGGCTTAAAGTGAGTATGAAAACACAAAGATGTCTATCTATTACATCTAACCATTTGGCTTTATGTCATGTCTTAGAGAGATGGCTCTAGGCCTAGGAAAAGGCAAACAAAAATACACCACAAATCCCTGGAACTAGAACCTTCACAAATGTGCAATGAATACCCAAATTAGAATAATCCAAATTGTTCAGGTAGAATGAGAGTTTATTTACTACTTTAAAGTGCTCTATAAACAATATTTAGAGTAGCGGTTCTGTAGTAAATATTTATAAATTCCAAAAATCATAGAGAAATATTTTATACAACTGCTTTCATAAAGAAAATCTAGTACTCAGGAGCACTTTAAAACAAAAGGTAGAAAGAATATTCAAAATGTATTCCAATATAATTTTATTGATTAAAATGAAGGATGTATAAGTACCTATCAGAAAACATCACAGTATATCTTTTTGAAAAGAACATCTATAACAAATAATATAGCATATTAAAAATAACATCTAATATATTTAGGAATTAAAGTAGTTTTAAATTAGGATTTTCTTATGTACTCAATACCTTTATACTTATTTTATATTCTATTTTATTTAATTCTAGCAGTTCCTTTTTCATAAGTTCTATAAAAATAATTATCATTGTATTTTTATATGAAGGTACCAAAGGGTACTTTTATGAAAATTTCCTGACCACCAAAGGTAAAAAAATTTGTGTACTCCCAGATTAGAATAAAGACAACACTTTTGTGCATTTGTTTATTTTTTAAAGATTTTTTTTTATTTATTTTTAGACAGAGGGGAAGGGAGGGAAAAAGAGAGGGAAAAACATCGATGTGAAAGACAAACACCAATCGATTACCTCTCATACACACCCAACCAGGAACCAAGCCCACATTCTAGGCACGTGCCCTGGCCAGGAATTGAACTGGTGACCTTTCACTTTACAGGATGACATCCCTGCAACTGAGCCACACCAGTCAGGGCTATGTATTTGTTTAAAAGAAGAAAAAGAGTCAGCTCCTAGGAAGGTCAGGTTCACTTTGGTAGACAATGGAAAAAGTGTGTTACCTTTTGACTCGGAAGAGGCAAATTTAGTCCTCTTCCCAAAGCAATACTACATCTCACTTATTTGGAAAATCAGATATTTGTATATATTCTTAACAAGTTTTTTAAAAATCAAATCAAATCAAAGGGAAACCAATTTATAAAGTCAAGAATTCAAGGATCTACAGAGGTCTCAGGAGGTCTGAATTTGCCTATTATGACTTTTCAGATCTTTGCTGCACAAATGAAACATAATCTCATCCCTTCTTTCCTCACTAGCAAGGGTTGCAAGTTACTGCTTTAGTTTTATCTTTGTTTTGTTTTGTTTTTATCTCTAGATCCCTGGAGAAACCACACTTAGCACCCTTGTGCCGTTCTCCCACTTATGAGTGGGAGGAAGGTTATCATGCAGAAAAACCCGCTTGCTCCCACATCAGGCATGTCCAGCTAACCTGTGCACCTAACCCTGCCTTCCTTCCCCATGGAGCATTTTAGCCTAATGATTTTGCCCTCAACTTCCCTTTGTCCTTACTAAAAGCTAGCTGGAAGAGGGGAAAAATTGGGAAGAGAAAGTGAAGCATTTTAGGTTAACAAATATGACAACTCAGAAAAAAATATACATATATAATAATTTTTAAATATCTTTAACACTTTTTTTTACTTTACTTCCAGGTGACTCTTTTAAACATGTGCTAATTAATTTTATATGATATTTTTTGAAATATTTCAAATAGAAGCTAAAACTGCTATCTATTAATAAAAATTACTTCTGGAAGAAAAAACTAAGTCCTGAAACCCCCCAGAAAAATATCATATAAGATTTAAATATTTCTGCCTTAAAACTATAGTTTCAGCCATTTCATAGTTTCTTGGATTTGAATGCATGTACAAAAAGAAAAGGTCTCTTCCCCCTATTCCATATAACTGAGTAGAGTATAAAAATGGAAATGCCACCCCTACAGATTGATGAAGATGCTGTTGGTTTAGTTGCTGCTTTTCCATGCAAACATTTCATGGAACTAAAGAGGCTATCTAAAGCATAAAGTACCCATAAAGTAATTTTTTAAAATTAATTTGAGCTCTCATACTAGACATTAGTTATGTGGTATTATAGAGCTGGTTTCAATTCTTTTTAGCCAATTTTTGATGGGAAACAGAAATTGTACCTTCTAATCAAATGTTCTTTTTTCCTTCTCCTTCAGAGATCAATTATCTCAGTTAACTTTACTTTCCTTCCTTTTCTTCACTTCCCTGTCTCCTGTTCTAGTGGATATATGGTCTGTGGGATGCATTATGGGAGAAATGGTTCGCCACAAAATCCTCTTTCCAGGAAGGGACTGTATCCTTGTACCTTTTGCTGCAGCTTTACATGTTTTGTGCTCTCTCCCTTTAAACACGTAATGGTTTTACCAGGAGAGTAAAGATAGAAGCAAAAAGTTGGGTAAGTGGTATAACTATGATTTTTTAAAAAGTGGTAATTTCTATAATCTGAGCAGTACTGAAGACTACCTACTGCAATGATTTGTGTTAATAAAATTTCAGTGGGCTTTTTCTTCTTAAATTATTTTTTGTCTATAATTCAAAGTAGCAATGCTATTTTTTCATAAATAAGAGAGGCCACCAAATCCTAGATGATTAAAATATATTCATTTTTACAAATGGAAAAATAAGCCACTATTTGCAAGTATTTTCCGTCTGCTTTCTAAGACTATTTTGCGCATCTACAACATTTAGGTGTAGTAATTTCTCTCCTCACTGACATCTTAAGCTTCTGAATTTCTCTTGACACTACATCCAGCCTTAAATAGGTCATTATAACACTTTCTTCTTAAAACATGAGCTTCCACATTTAAAAATCATAATTATTATTCAAATTGCTGGGTGTCTGGTGGGTTTAAAATAGGCCTCCCTCACTTGACTTGGATATGTGAGTTAGATATAGATAATTACTTTCCAAAGAAATGTAGAATTTTAAAAAAGCACTGTTGATACGAGTTCTATCACTGAGTGCTGTGCTAGATTTCATCAGAAATGTCTTGAAGTGATATTTATGATTTACAATGATTAAATGAGCTGCTATATTTCTGAAATGACCAAAAACTTACTAACAGAGGCACATAATTTTTATTATAGTATGTAGATAATAAAGTTTACATATTAATAGAGGATATGCTTTTTTAAAATACAGAAATGCCCTACTAATATACAATAGTAAAATCTAAGTACAACAATAATTAACAACTTTCACAATAATAATGAAAGATTGAGTTTAATATATTTATTATATATGACTGTTTTGTAAAAGAACAATAAATATGTGATACACAACTCTATTAAATATTGCATTTGACTAATAAGAAAGCTCTATGAAGGACCTTTTTTATTGTGTAAGAAAAATTATGATTGTTTAGTAGAAACAAAAATAGAAGAAAAACCTATGATAATTGAAATTTGGACTCAATATGAAATTAATACACAGTGAGTATGCATTTTTGTGGGCATTTATTTATTCTGCTGGATATTAATGAGATATTCTCTAAATTCCAGTAATAAAGTAAGAGTAATGACATCTTCTAGAACTATACTGCCCAGTAGGTAGCCACTAGCAACTTGTGGCTACTCAGCACTTGAAATTATGGCTGGTTTGAGGTGAGATATGTTATATGTGCACATACTAGATTTTGAATATATAAAAGGAAAGCATGTAAAATATCTCATTAATAATTTTTATGTTGATTATATTTTGAAATACTTCATTTCAATTTATATTATTTATATTTTGAGGATCAATTCTATATTCAATGTAGCTGATTTAAAAGGAACCTCTTAATCAGCACTTAAAGTGAAGTTACACAGCCACATCTCTGTACTCTTTTAAGTTAGTGAAATACAAAAAGTCAGAATGCCTCATTTCCATGTGGCATAGGTACAGCTTCTTAGATTTTCATTAGCATGGTTCTCTGAGATCTAATTTATCTCTGCAGACATTTATCTGGATTCCTTTTTACTTAATTTAACAGTATTAAATTTAAAAGTCAGTAAAATGAAGAAAAACCAAAACACTTTTCAACCTAAAATAACCATTCAGAAAATAAGCAGACAGAGATAATATCACCATATCGATAATTCTTTATTCTTCTGAAAATTGTTCTCATGGAGGTATTTTTTCTCCTTTTTATTTTAGTTTATATTTTAGAACAGTGTTTGTAACTGAAAGTAAGTTGTGCAAAAATCAATAAAAGTATGATCCTAGAAAATTAATATATCCTAATATACAAAATGTAGATTGTAATAAGCATTTGCATTCTGAATCCCTTTATTTTAAGCAGTGATTATGCAGTATCGGTCTTTGGTAGGTTAGTGTCATTTATAATAATGAGCCTGAATGAGGACCTAAAAAGTAAACAGAGAAGTTACATAAAGACATTTGTAGTGGAAAACATTTTGCTTAGCTTAAATTCTACTTAAATATAGATAAATAATTTGAGATGCAATGAGTTAGAACTGCCATCATATTGAAAATGTATAAATTTGGATTTAAATACTTAATTCATTTTACCTATAATTAAAATTATAACTTAACATTGTAAGTCATGGCCACATTTTAAAAATAAACTAAACCATAGAAATCCCTATTAAACAATGAATAACACATACTCTGCTTCTTTTAAGTTCCATTAATATTTACATGAAATCATTATCATTATATGAGTATAGTTCCCTATCAAGCATTGAGAAATCAAAGCATTAAATTAGCTTCACTAATTTAAACCATGATAGACACAAGTTGAGGGACTGGCTGATGGAGGTTTTATATTAGGAGGAGAATTGCACCAATATTTTAGCATTTAAATGAGTCCAGCATTTACCAGAAGTAATATCAAAGATTAGTACATATTAACAAAAGTATATGACTTTTTGACTACTTCCATGATTCCTCAGAGACTTAAAAAAGTGATCATAGGTTCTCTTATTTTACATGAGACATTTCACTTAGAATGAAAAACCTTATCAAGGTTATAGGTGTAAAGCCAAGTTGTTAAGGAACCAGGAAATAATTTTACAAAAATATATTTGAAGAAATAAAGAAAAATCCTCAAATTATTGAATTCCATATGTTTTCTAAGCTTAAACATGAAAATTAGGAATAATCAAACTTAAGTAAACAAAATTTGGAGACTGTGGGTTATTATATCCATCTAGTGCAGATAGATACTCTGAATACTTTTTACCTCTGTGAAATAACTGCTTACTTTCTGATAAACTTTTGCAACTAATGCATCGCTATTGTTTGAGTCTGTTCCCTAATAATAAGATATTACAAGGTTATTTCAAACAGTATATATTATACCCCAAACCATAAGAATCATAGAAGAGAACATAGGCAGCAAAATTTCAGGCATTGCTCATTGCAATATTTTATCAGATACATCTTTCTAGTCAAGGGAAACAAAAGAAAAAGTAAATAAATGGGACTACATCACACTAAATTTTTTGCACAGCAAAGGAAATCAATGATGAAATAAAAAGACAACTCACAGAATGGAAAAGCATATTTGCCAATGCATCTGATAAGGGGTTAATATCCAAAAATTTTTTAAGATTTTATTTATTTATTTTTAAAAAGGTAAGAGAAGGAGAAAGAGAGAGAGAGAGAGAAACATCAATGTGTGGTTGCTGGGGGCCGTAGCCTGCAACCCAGGCATGTGCCCTGACTGGGAATTGAACCTGCGATGCTTTGGTTCGCAGCCCGCGCTCAATCCACTGAGCTACACCAGCCAGGGCAATATCCAAAATTTTTAAAGAACTTATAAAACTCAACACTAAAAAGAAAACCAACCCAATGAAAAAATTGGCAAAGAATCTGAATAGACACTTCTCCAAAGAGGCCAATAGACATATGAAAAGATGCTCAATGTCACTAATCCTCAGAGAAATGCAAATTAAAACAACAATGAGATATCATCTCATACCTGTCAGAATGGCTATCATCAATAAATCAACAAACAACAAGTGCAGGCAAGGATGTGGAGAAAGGGGAACCCTTTTACACTGTTGGTGTGAATGTAGACTGGTGCAGCCACTGAGGAAAGCAGTATGGAGATGCCTCAAAAAATTACAAGTGGATCTGCCTTCTGACCCAGCAATCCTACTTCTGGGAATATATCCAAAAGAACCCAAAACACTAATTTGAAAGAACATAAGCACCCCTATGTTCATTGCAGTGTTATTTACAATTGCCAAGATATGGAAACAGCCCAAGTGTCCCTCAGTAGACAAGTGGATAAAACAACTATGGGACATTTACACAATGATATGCTACTTAGCCATAAAAAAGAAGAAAGTTTTACCATTTGTAACAGTATGGATGGACCTGGAGACCATTATGCTAAGTGAAATCAACCAGTCAGAGAAAGACAAATACCATATGATTTTACTCATATGGGGATCTAATGAACAAACTGAACTAGCAAGGAAAGTGGGGGCAGACACATAGATGGAGAACAAGTTGACAGCTAAGGGCTGGGGGGAGGTTATAGGGTGGAGGAGGGATTGAACAAAAAGGGAAAAGGGACTCATGAACATGGACAACAGTGTGGTGATTGCTGGGGTAAGGTGGGCATAAGGGGGGTTAAATGGTAATAGCAAAAATACAATAAAGATTAAGTTTAAAAACAGTACATAATTTTGACTTTAAATAGAGTTGGGAGATAAAAACCCAGTAGTCCCTCTTTCACATCCATAAAGAAATTGCAGATAATCATGAACATAAAAAGATTATTCATTTATTAATTCTTTATATGCTTTTAAAAGAATATATTTTCACCATTAATTTGCTTACTATTTCTTTCTTTTATTATTATTTTGAGAAAATCTAAATGAGACAGGAATTACTAGAATGGAAGCTGAGGGGTTTTGAGAGGATCTGAAAAGATGGAAGTACAAAGGGATCATCTAAGGATAATCCCTTTTCCAAAGCATTTAGAGTAGACCAGAGTCCACTAGAGCATCAGTCCCCAACCTTTTTGGCACCAGAGACCAGCTTCACGGAGGACAATTTTTCCATGGACCCAGTGGAGGGCTGATGGTTTCAGGATGATTCAAGTGCACTACATTTATTGTGCACTTTATTTCTATTATTATTACATTGTAATATATAATGAAATAATTATACAACTCACCATGAGGCAGAATTGATGGGATCCCTGATCTTATTTTCCTGCAACTAGATGGCCCCACATGGGGGTGATAGGAGACAGTGACACCCAAAGTGTGTTGCTTGTGTACAGTCTAGTCCATAATCTCATTCTTGTGGCAGTCACTGCAGAAAACCCTGCT